AAGATCCTCACCAAAATCATTACAAACAGACTCAACCAAACACTTACCAGATACTCAATACTTTCACCTTCTAACCACGTCACATTACCGCTCACCTCTACAACATATCCTATTAATACACTAACCCACATACTTGAAGATGCACATATTAACGATAAAGAATTCTGGATCCTTTCCCAAGATATGTTAAAGGCCTACAACTCAGTACACATTCCACTACTTACCAAAGCATTACTTAGAATAAAAATCCCAGAACCTATCACAGACCTGATTACTAATATCTTTACAGCGAGAACCAATAAAGTTATTACTACATATGGTATCTCCAAATCCTATCTGATACACGATGGAATAGATCAAGGTGAAACGATAACGCCATTACTATGGCGTATATACTACGATCCCCTAATACACACAATTATCACTCAGCATCAGAGATATACTCTTACTACTAATATCAAAAATGAATCCAATATACACAACTCCCATACCTCTTGTCTAGCATATATGGATGATACTATATGGATTGCTCAATCAAAGCGATCTCTAGAACTCATAATCCATACAGCAACATCTTTCTACAACATGGCCAACATAAAAGTAAACCCAAATAAATCAACTCTAGCTACAAATACCACAACAAACAATGCACAAATCACTTTTAACTAACAAATCATACAAAATATCTCTCCTAACCAAGCCTTTAGATTTCTATGATGCTGGTTCTCCAGAACCTTTTTTTACAAACCCACTCATACCATCATTACTGATGAAATTACAGCAGCTATACGAAAGCTATGACATGCAAAAATAACAGACAAACAAGCAATATACATCATCAACTCAGTAATTCTCACCCGATTTGCTTATCAGATCCAAAACACTTTCCTTTCAAGCTCATAGCTGAACAAAATTACCAAATCCTATACCAACCTCACTAAACACAAAGCGGGGTTCACTAGTACTATTCCAAGCTCGACACTATTCCACAACCGAATCTACAGTCTAAAAACAACAACAACTACAACATATCAGCAATTTCTCTAAAATTCTTAATCATCCATCCTTTGGCACATCCGCATTAAAAATAAGGCTACAACAACTACAAAATTCTGCTACTACAAACCACTTGATCCTTACGTACCAACCCATTCTTTCATTACCAGAAAATAAAACAACTACCGCACAAATAATACTGGAACTCCACAAGGTCCAACTTACTTTACACAATGATAGTAACATCTGGCCAATACTAATGAATCAAATAGGAACCTCTATCAACAGTATACTATACTCAAACCCGAAAGCCTCAGTCATAAAAGGAAAACTAAATACACATCATATCTACTTTATCGAACAATTAACTAATTCTTCTCATACACAGCTCTTAACTTGGCAGGAATCACATCACAATACACAAAAAATACCCAGAGGCAGACAACCTAAATGGTACAACACCCTCCTAAATGATATTGCTGCAGCAGAAAATATTCATAATCAGCTTATCCAACCCAACCCTTTCACTATACCACCTATAAATAACCAACACATTGTATGGGTCTATAACCCACAGCTTCAAGTTTTTGGAAAATTTTCAAAAAGAAAAAATCAAACTATCATCTTTCGATATTGGAAACAATTACCAAACAACCCTCAAAGACTAACCAAGTGCATGGGATGCATACTTAGCTCTCCAAATCAACAATGCTGCTACCTCAAAGATTCTGCACAAAACTTAATACATATACAAGTAGACAAAAAGAAATATATATATGCAAACATCAAGGATCTAAACACAACTCCTATACAACCCTGCGTTAATACTACAAAACAACTACAAAAACACACCTTTACTATGTATAAAGACCAGATCTCAAAAAACTTAATGGAAGCTACACCCAATCTATACCAAAAATTATAGAAAATATACAGGTCTCTTTATGGGAAAAAAGCATTGAATGCTAATATAAATATACAATCTAACAGCACGAATTCAACACACAACCCCACAGCCTGCTGGACAATAGTCGATACACCTCTTGATTTACAAATCTCAAATCTAACTTGGCCGTCCAAAAGAAAAGCCTTGCTGACAGCACTACTGATTCTAATCACCGCAGTACCATATGCATGTATACTAAACATTTCTACAGATGAAAAACAACTAGCCTATAACTTTACAAACATAGTCCAAACCACCACATATCTTGCCAATCAATTGCTATCTACAACCTTCAGAATTTACAAAGCAACCATAAAAGCAGCAATTACGAGAAAAGACCTAACAGTACAAATAACAACTACAAATACTACAATTAAACCAAATATTGCAAACACAACCATTGCTACTGAAATCAACACAGAGATGATACTGCACAACATCTACACTCCCAAACTAAACTATCACGCATTTCCAACACTTCTCAATCTACATATTCGACATCCAACAAAGTACAACAATCCCATATGTCACAGATATACACAAACAAATGAAAATAATCAACACTGGCTTACATACACAACTAACATATACTCTATCGAAGAAATAGTCACACAAGCTCTTAATCGAACAATACAAAAATATCAAATAGAAATAAATACTACTAACTTTAGACAAAACTTTCTACAAAAATTTATATA